CCTGCTAGGATTCCCCCAGGGGTTCGGTGGACAAAGTGTTGCTGATGGCTGGGCAGTTGGTCGCACCCTGGAGCAACCCAGAGGCAGGGAGAAGGGAGAGTGGCAGATTAGAAGAAGGAGAAGCCAACTGTTGTCCCTCCAGGGCATGTTGATTCCCCTCTGATGCAGCCGGGGTTAACTGTAAAGCCTCCACCTCCTGGGAGAGGAAGGCAAGCCTGCTGCCCACCATCACATGGTTGCCCTTCTCGGTGGCAGGGTCAGCAGTCACCCTCACAGCGGAGGTGGGGATGGTGGGAGCATCCTCCATAGACACTCACTCTTGCAGGGACTCCAGGAGGGAGGTGTTTACCCCTCCTGCAACCGCTGCGGTGACCTCAGCTGCCCCACGGTGCTGTGAAGTGTCCAGGGGCTCAGAGGGAGGGATGGCTTTGATGTCCATCCGTAGATGAACAAGGAGAGTATCCTCCCCTTCAGTGTGTGGAGTGGAATGCTGGGCTTGCTTGCGGTGCCTCCCTGTGGCAACCTCACGGCCCTCGGAGGAGAAGGGCTGGGCCTGAATCGGGGAAGAGCCAGGGGACAAGGGCAGTGGTGGGAGGGTGAGGGAAGACAGGGGCTGGGCAGATGGGGAAGGGGAAACCTCCCCCTGAAGTAGATCCTGTCTGAGTTGCTTCGCCGACCCCGCCGCCCTCTCCTCCGCAGGCCTGGCCTTGCTGCTTTTGGCGGTGGCAGCAGCGCTCGCTCACTCCTCTGGGCCCTGCGGAGCCCAAGCAGGACTGACAACGTCAAAGTTGGAGGAGGGGCGACCCCAGGGTCCAGACCATCGGGCCCACCAGCAATGGTAGGGCTGGTATGCGTCGGGGGTCCCGAGTGCATGTCTGAGCTGGGCCAGGGGACAATCCCTTTGTATGTGCCCCGTTGCCCGACAGAGAAAACACTGGGCCTCTCCGAAGGTGTAATATACTCAGTACTGTTCCCCTTGATAGGGTACCAGAAATGACCCTTCTAGGGTTTCTCCATCATGCCACGCTGGCAGTAGTTGGATTTGAACCTGCTGGCAGAAGGAGAGAATGTGGCAGAGAGTAGGGTCATTGCAGCCCAAAGGAAGGGGACTTACGACTGACAAGGGCCTACCCAGGGTAGAGAGGAAAGGCAATAGGGCAGCATTGGAGAGGAAGGGAGGAAAATATCACCCATACGCCCAGGTCCTCCAGAGGTTTGAGTGGGACGTGGACTCCACCCACTGCCAAACACTTCTCCACCACCTCCTGGGTGACGGCCTCGGATGCCAGGAAGAATACCACCTTCCCGAACATCTTAGAGGCCGCCACCACAGCTGCCTGCACATAGGTCTCCACGTGGGGCAAGGCTGACACCAGGAAGCAACGGACCGTGTGCCTCCTGGTTAGGGTGGGAAAAGGGCCGCAGCTGCTGGAGATGGAATTCCGGGAGGCGGCTTGAGTGGATCAGAAGGCAGCAGGCAGGGGGCTGGTGGCTACCTGGGCATACACCCTGGGGGCCAGGACACCATCACCCCCAGAGCTGGTGGAAGGAACAGGGGGACAGGAAAGCAGGGAAGCCGTGGCCAAGGCTGTGGCAGGGGGGTGAGCCTTTGCCATAGAAGGTTTTGCCCTCCAGGTGGGGCTCTTGCCCTACTTGGTCTCCTGGCCCTTCTTGCCCTTCAGGGAGGCTTTCCTGGTGGTGACACTGGTGGCAGAAGGTGCTGCAGCAGGAACGGTAGGGCCCCGGAATCCCCGTCCGTGTCTACCACCTGTGCTGCATGAGCGGGTGGCCCGGCAGCCTCAGAGGGTTCCGTATTCATAGAGGTAGTGAGGAGAGGTGGGCAAGGGGCATCACACGACTGCTCCTCCATTGTGTTCATGGGTGAGGGGGGGAGGAAGGACAGGAACAGACAATTAGGAGAGACCAATAGTGCCAGGGGATGGAGCAAGTGGTGGGGGAAAAGGAGGGAAGGGAGAGGGAGAGGAAGATTCATCACTCCCCCTCCCACTAGACTGGAAGTGGGGTGGGAGGGCAGCAATGCACATAGGAGAAAAGGGATAAAGGAACAAGGGGTACAGCTCCTAGCACAGGATGGTAAGTGCGGCTCCTCTGGCTGCACTAGGAAGGTGAGGGGGTAAATTATTTGAAAGACATGGGGGAAGTGAAACGGTGCGTGGGAGGAGGGTAACTAAAAAAGAGAGGGAGGCCCAGGCACCAAACAAGATGACAGAGGGGGCCATGGGCACACGAGAAGAGGGGAGGGGAATGCAGGCTGAGAGAAGGATCCTGCTCAAGGAAGTGGGCGGGGGGCAGCAAGACACTGCTGGACGAGGGGGGGAATTAGTGTGCCCACGAGGAGTAACAGTAGTTCAAATTAGAGAGCCTAATTCGAACTACCTACTCTGTGCCGCGTGTAGCCGCGGGCACGGAGTCCACACTAAGGGGGATTTAAAAATGGCGGCGCCTGGCAAGATGCAAATGAAGCCCGGGATATTTAAATCCTGGGCTTCATTTGCAACTTTGAATGCCTACATTAGCCACCCTAGTTCGAACTAGGGTGGCAGTGTAGACATACCCTTAGTTTGGTTTGTTTGTTTGAAGGAGTGTGTGCTGTAGCTGGCAGTTAGAAGCTGTGAGCTTCTAAAGGTTTGAAATCAAGAAGCCTCTGTCAATTGGCTGAGCCTTAGTCAGGGGACGGCACTATCAGGAAGGCCAGAGCTTTTTAAAGCAGTGAGTCAGCGACCAGGGGCAGCAAACAGGGAGTTTTGAGAGGGAGTTGGGAAGAGGCCAAGGTAGACTTGCCATTCTTTATAGTTTAGTTTAAAGGTTTTAATTAAAACTTCCTGATTTAACTAGAAACCCTATCAATTACCTAGATAGCTGTAGGAGAGAATGCAGGCAGAAGCCCAGCAGCATAGTGGGGGCTAACCTGTTTATTGCGCTCAGTGAAGCATGTATGATCACCTGTCCTATAGGTGGGTGGCGTATATGTGCATTCTGTGCAAAGAGCTTCTGGCCCTCAGAGACCGCGTACGGGCTTTGGAGGCCAGGGTGGCTGAACTGGAGGAGCTGAGGGAGGCAGAGAGGTACGTAGATGAGGCTTTCTGGGACACCATAGAATTGTCCCACCTCCAGTCAGACAGCCCCTGCGCTATTAAGGAGGATGAAAGGCTCAGGGAAGGAGAGAAGTCAACAGGAGCAGAGGGAAACCTTCCCATAGTTGGGACCCTCCTTCCAGATGTTGGGGTATCCTCTCACACTGAGAGGGAACTCCAGTCATTAGGAAAAGGCAGGTGTTAGTATAGGAGATTTGATCATTAGAAATGTAGATAGCTGGGTTTGCACTGACCGGGAGAACCGTATGGTGACTTGCCTGCCTGATGCAAAGGTTGAGGATCTCTCGAGGCATCTAGATAGACTTATGTGTAGTGCTGGGGAGGAGCCAGTGGTTGCGGTGCATGTAGGTTCCAATGACATGGGGAAGGGTAGCAGAGATGTCCTGGAGGCCAAATTTAGGCTGCTAGGAAAGAGACTGAAATCCAGGACCTCTATGGTGGCATTTTCAAAAATGCTTCCAGTTCCACGCACAGGTAGGCAGGCAGAACTCAGAGTCTTAATGCATGGATGAGACAATGGTGTAGGGAGGAGGCGTTTAGCTTTATAAGGAACTGGGGAAACTTTGGGGATAGGGAGAGCCTATACAGGAAGGATGGGCTCCAACTAAACCAAAATGGATCCAGATTGCTGGCACTTAACGTTAAAAAGGTCACAGAGCAATTTTTAAACTAAGAAATAGGGGAAAGCCGATTGGTGCAGAGGAGCACGTGGATCGGACAGAGACGTCTCTTAGAGGAGGGTCTATTGATAGAGATTCTCTAGGTTTTAGTCAGGAGAGAGGATGGAAGAGGATAAAGTAAGGGCCAGATCAGATGAAAAACATTCACATAAAAAAGAATCTGACACATCAGAAAAGGGCAGGCAAATAAACAGTGACAAGTTTTTAAAGTACTTGTACACAAATGCTAGAAGTCTAAAAAATAAGATGGGTGAACTAGAGTGCCTTGTGTTAAAGAAGGATCGTGATATAATAGGCATCACAGAAACCTGCTGGAGTGAGGACAGTCAATGGGACAAAATCATTCCGGAGTACAAAATATATCGGAAGGACAGAACAGGTCGAGCGGGTGGGGGAGTGGCACTATATGTGAAAGAAAATTTAGAATCAAATGAAGTAAAAAGCTTAAATGAATCAACATGATCCATAGAATCGCTATGGATAGTAATTCCCTGCTCTAATAAGAATATAACAGTAGGGTTATAATATCAACCACCTAACCAGAACAGTAATAGTGACTATGAAATGCTAAGGGAGATTAGAGAGGCTATCAAAATAAAGAACTCAGTAATAGTGGGGGATTTCAACTATCCTCATATTGATTGGGTACATGTCACCTCAGGACGAGATGCAGAGACAAAATTTCTTGATACCTTAAACAACTGCTTCTTGGAGCAGCTGGTACAGGAACCCACAAGGGGAAAGGAAATTCTTGATTTAGTCCTGAGTGGCGTGCAGGATCTGGTCCAAGAGGTAACTATAACAGGACCGCTTGGAAATAGTGACCATAATATAATAACATTTAACATTCCTGTGGTGGGAAGAACACCTCAGCAGCCCAACACTGTGGCATGTAATTTCAAAAAGGGGAACTATGCAAAAATAAGGAGGTTAGTTAAACAGAAATTAAAAGGTATAGTAAAAGTATATATATAGGAAATAGTGACCATAATATAATAACATTTAACTTGCATTTCATTTGAAAGATGGCACATGTGTCAGCACATTATGGTTTGGTAAAGGATGTATTTTACATAAGTCATCCGCAAAAGCATTCCAAAGGAATTTTGAAAATGTATTCCTAAATAATTAATGCTTCAACATTTACTCCTTTAGCTTTATTCCAATATAACTACAGAGAAGAAATACTGTTACTAGTCATTACCTGGCATTGTTTTTGGTACACTTTTAGTTCCTGTTGGAGTTTTAGATTTTCCTCTTGTAACTTATTCCTGTTTGTTGCTATTTCATTCACAGTTGACTTTAGTTTTTCAATAATGTACTCATCCCTCTCAGTGCTGGATTGGCTGGAAGTAGCTGCAGCTTCCTGTTTCTGGTTCTTACTGCTGATTTGGAATTGATAATTCTGTGTCTGTTTCTATAGAATAAGGAAATCTTCAATGAAATTCAAGAACTATATTTCATCCTCTTGGATTAAATCCTCTACCATTACAATCAGTCGTGGCTTTTCATTAACTACAATGGAATATGGACAGAGCACCACAGAGACGCTGGTGCACGCTTGATGATTTCCTTGCTGTTTCTCCAAAGGATATTTTACTCTTGTCTTTATTGGGCCTCAGATCCCTTGTCCTCAATAGAAAAATGTGGCAGAAACTCTGAAAATTTAAGTTTGCAGAATTTCTCAATAAGTTTTCCCTTCTTGTGCCTATTTTCCTAGATATATGCTATAATGTGAGTAAACATGAACATGAATGTAATGACATATTTGGCCCACATAGCTATAAAAAATAGTTAATGGAGGGCAATTTCGTCCTCCAATACAATGACCTCAATAAGAGCTGTGTAAATGCATTTCAGGGTAGAAATTTGCCCTTGAATTTTAAGCTAACACCACACAATCCATATATTAAAAAAAACCCCAAAACAGTTACATAATAACTGTACTTCTCTGAGATGATTGCTTACATGGATCCACTCGACTACGGGATAACTGCTAGAAAACACTATTATACAGGGATCTGAGTTAAGGGTATAAAAGGATTGGCCTCCAACCATCTTGTAGTTCCTTTTACTAATTAAGAAATCCTTGAACTGATTGTTGGTGAAGGTGGACAATATTTATTGGATCCATAGTCACCTTGGAAAATCAGTTACTACAGCAACCACTTTTACTGTTTCCAGAATTGCCCATGTGGATCCCACTCCTGTGATATTAACAAGCAGCAGTCATTATCCAAAAGATGGTTCTAAATTAACTGAAAAATGACAGCAGGACTGCTCTTTCAAATTAGGCAGCAGGTCTAGAGCTCACTGGAAGGAGTAATGCTGCATTAAAAAGTATTCAAAGCTACAAGTAGCATATTTCATTGATGGATATAGTGAGAAGGCATGCTATGGATTATCTTAGGCTCTATTTTTAGAGCCCTGCAAATTTGCAGATATATGTTTTATATCCTCAGGTATCTGCATCCGTTGATATGGATGCAGGTATCTGGAAATCATTTTTGCAGACACAGGTGCAGATACCAATTTTATATTCACGCAGGGCTCTACCTATTTTGTATGTTTTCATATTTTTGGTGTCTCAACATTGATCTAAGATGAGATAAACTGATCCATGGTTTTATCCCCATATTACACGAAGTGCTAGATCAGCAAAAGTATTTAGGTACCTCATTGCCTGTTGTTATATGCCCTGAACAGCATGCCCACTTATAGAATTGATTGCCTCTGCCTCTGTTTCTCTCAGGGTCTTCAGATGATGTATCCAGCTTCCAATACGTTTCAGGTCATTTAACCCTCCAGTTAGGTCACATGACAGTTCCACCCCTTTGAACTCAAAGTTCAAAATAAACACAAAGAAATGTAAACTATTCCCTTCTCTTAGGGAGGCCCTGACAGCGAACAGTCCACTCTAGATCCTGGTCCCAGCAAGGCTTCTCCCCAGGACTTACAGAATGAAGCCTATCTCTAGGATGGCATAGAATCTCTCTTTAGGCAAGAAGGCTTTTACAGTTGGATAGGCTATCAAGGCTCCAAGAAATCTACCTTTTGTGCTGGGATTAAAGTGGATTAAAAACTAATAACTGATTGACCAAATAACTAACCAGGAACTCCCAACGCCAGTTAGGAGAATACAGAGGACAATGTTCACAGTCTTTGGTGGTCAAGGGGACCGGACAGTGTGTCAAACCACTTGAACTGTTATAATTCCAGAAATCAGTGCAACAGGAGAAGGATGAGTGGACACATCAGACATTACTTTCTAAAGGATTTTTGAGCTTTCATTCTTGGGATGCACTGTTCTCATGAATGGGGCTCAATATAGACAATTATTGAATGAACACTAATAGTTTGCACAATTTACTTTGCAATTTTTCTTGCATTATGGATTATCCTAATGAACTATCATTAATAAATAAGGGTATGTCTACACTACAGCGCTAGTTCGAACTAACTTAGTTCGAATTAGTTAATTCGAACTAAGCTAATTCGAACTAACGCATCTAGAACTAAAAAGTAGTTCGAATTAGCGTTTTGCTAATTCAAACTAGCAAGTCCACATTGAGTGGACTCTGAACAGGGCTTAAGGATGGCCAGAAGCAGTGCCGGCAGGGCATCAGAGGAGGACTTAGAGCGTGGAGATGCTGTCTCAGGCTAGCCGAGGGCTGCGCTTAAAGGGTCCCGACCCCCACCCCGGACAGACAGTTCTAAGGGGTGCCCCGCTTAAAAACCAGTCCTGGCTTGGAGTGCTCTGAGTGCCCACACTGGGCACATCACACCACTCGGCCATCAGCCTGGCTGCACTTGCTGCAGGCTGCCATCTGGGGAGAGGGGGCAATCGGGGGGCTGCAGGAGAGCTTCCACCCCCAGAAGCCCGCAGAGCCAGCCCAGTCCTACCCATCGGGGGCTCGTACCCCATTCCTCCCTCACCTCCTTCCACTTACCCTTCCCTAGCCCCCCTTCTTATTGATGTACAAAATAAAGATAACGTTTCTTCCAACATTGACTCTGTCTTCATTGAACAAAACTGGGGCAGACTGGGAAAAGGAGGTGGGAGAGGGGAAGAGAAAGGCTGGGAGAAGGGAGGGCAACTAACATGATCAGGGGTTGGGAACAGGTCCCAGATGAAGAAAGGCTACAGAGACTGGGACTGTTCAGCTTAGAAAAGAGGAGACGGAGGGGGGACAGGATAGAGGTCTCTAAAAGCAGGGGTTGGGTGGAGAGGGTGCATTCAGAAAAGTTCTTCATGAGTTCCCATAAAGAAGGACTAGAGGACACCAAAGGAAAGGAATGGGTAGCAGGCTTCAAACTAGTAAGAGAAAGTTGTTCTTCTTCCCAAAGCAAATAGTTAACCTGTGGAACTCCTTGCTGCAGGAGGCTGTGAAGGCTACAACTAGAACAGAGTTTAAAGGGAAGTGAGATCAAGTCATGGAGGTTGGGTCCATGGAGTAGTCTTAGCCAGGGGGTAGGAGTGGTGTCCCTGCCCAAAGTTTGTGGAAGGCTGGAGAGGGATGGCACGAGACAAATGGCTTGGACACTGTCTTCGGTCCATCCCCTCCAGGGTCCCTAGGGTTGGCCGCTGTCGGCAGACAGGCTACTGGGCTAGATGGACCTTTGGTCTGACCCAGTACGGCCATTGTAAGCTCAGGGCTCAGTGTCGGGGGTCTCAGTGGACCCCCTTGATTTTCATGCACACCTGGTCCTGGGTGGCCAGGCTGGCAGCTCTCCTGCCCTAGACGGCCACTTTCCTGTGCCTAGTGTGGAGGTCATGGATGAGGTCCACGATCTCCGCACTAGACCTGGTGGGCGCCCACCTCTTGCAGACCTGGGCAGGCTCCCGGGAGCCGCCAGCGTGGTCCCGGGAAAAGGCGGAGGGCTGGGTGGCAGCGGGTGGCTGGTTCATGCCATGCCAGGTGCAGGGTCTGCTGGCTGGGTGCTAGCAGGCTTGCACCTGGCAGAGGCATCGTAGCCAGACCGTGCCCCTTTAAGGGCTCCGGGGCCGGGAGGGGGGCAGACGATTTTCCCTGGTGGTGCCCAAAGTGGCCACCAGGGAAAGCTGGGGAGGGCTAGCTCCCACTAGTTCGAATTAAGGGTCTACACAGCCCTTAATTCGAACTAGCTAGTTCGAACTAGGCTTAAGCCTTGTAAAATGAGGTTTTCCTAGTTCGAACTAAGCGCTCCGCTAGTTCGATTCAAATTCAAACTAGCGGAGCGCTAGTGTAGCGGCTATGTATGTTAGTTCGAACTAATGTCCGTTAGTTCGAACTAACATTGTAGTGTAGACATACCCTGCCATAGAAGAGCTACTAGCTAAACTAGAACCTAAAGAATGCTCTATATGCATCACAGTTTTTTTCAAAGCTTTTATACTTATTGATACTATATGGGTACGTCTAAACTACATGCCTCCGTCGATGGAGGCATGTAGATTAGACAGATCTGCAGAGGGAAATGAAGCCACAATTAAAATAATCGCGGCTTCATTTAAATTTAAATGGCTGCCCCGCTCTGCCGATCAGCTGTTTGTCGGCAGATCGGGGCAGTCTGGACGCGCCGCGTCGACAAAGAAGCCTTTCTTGATCGGCACAGGTATGCCTCGTGAAACCAGGTTTACCTGTGCCGATCAAGAAAGGCTTCTTTGTCGACGCGGCGCGTCCAGACTGCCCCGATCTGCCGACAAACAGCTGATCGGCAGAGCGGGGCAGCCATTTAAATTTAAATGAAGCCGCGATTATTTTAATCGCGGCTTCATTTCCCTCTGCCGATCTGTCTAATCTATATGCCTCCGTCGACGGAGGCATGTAGTTTAGACGTACCCTATAGGAAAAACTTAAAATCCACTCGAAGTATCAAGTATTAGTTGTTTTAGAGAGGATTCTTCTCATGGATTAACAGAAATATGTGCATATTAATTCTTCTTTAGAGTTACTATAAATTTAGCAATGTTTTAGAGAAATAAGATGGGGAGGTAATATCTTTAATTGGACCAATTTCTGTTGGAGATGCAAACAAGCTTTTGAGCTTCCACTGAGTAAAGAGCTCTGAGAAGAGTTCACAGCTACATAGAAAGTGGTACAGATTGTTTAGTATAAAGAGTTCACCTTGAATTGTCTCTTACATGTTAAGAGGGCAATTAATATCTCTGCAGTCATTGAACAAAGGAGGTTAGTGGGTTATAAACTGTTGTAATGAGCCATATGGCCAATGTCTTTATTGAGTCTATGATATTTATGTCTAACAAAGTTATGAATTTAAGCTCTCAGGCTCATCTTTTTAAGATGATGAGGATTCTGCTGAGGACTTGCAAAGTATGGATTGATCATTTTCTGAAAAGTGGTCACCCAAGGGCAATATGATGCTTTTTTCTTTTAAAATTTTTTCTGTGTAAATTCGTTTGAGAGTATAGTCTTATTTCACCCACATAGTTTTATTAGTGCACTGGGATGACAGATACTGCATGTTGTGATAGGCATATGTAGGAACTTTTGACAAACAGAAATTAGTCCTATAAAAGATAGCACATTACCTAGAGTGTCTCTGCAACACTCTGCGTATGTCTACACTACAGAGTTTTGTCGTAAAAACGGCCATTTTTCTTACAAAACTTGAGGAACATCCACACTGCAATTGTGTTCTTCTGCAAGAAAATTGAAAGAACAGAGGGTTTTTTCTGGCACTGGTAATCCTCATTCTACGAGGAAGAAGCTTTTTTGTAAAACAGCTCTTTCGCAAAAAGGCGTGTGTAGATGGGGGAGAGGAGTTCTTTTGGAAGAAGAGGAAAGAAGAAAAAGCACAGGTGCCCTGGAGGCCATTCTGTCCATAGGAATCACAGCTTACATGAAAGAGAGGTCCATTCAGTCTGGATGCTCTTTTTCAAAAAAGCAGATCATTTTTTCAATGCACTTTTGTAGTGTGGATGTTCTCTTTTGGAAGAAGTTTTTTCAGAAGATCTTTTCCGAAAAAAGTTTCTTCCGAAAGAAGTCTGTAGTCTAGATGTAGCCAACATGATTACAACACCACTGCAAACAACAGGGTTTTAGAAACATTTTAGCATTAGTTAAACCAACTCTTTAGTTGAGCTTGTGCTTTATTTTTTTCTGAAACAGGAAGGTAGGAAATATACCTGAAACAAATTATACTTCTCAGATAGTAATTTTTGTTGAGCATCTAAAGAAACAAGATGGTTTTGGTATAGTATCTCCTTCTCATCCCATTCTCTTGATTTTTGTTCAAATTCCTGGGGAGGAGGGGGAAAGGAACACAAGGTCACTAAGACTTGAAATAGTTTTTCTCCACTTAGAACTAGTACACTCATAATAATGAATGCTTATTTTTTTTATGTTTCTAAGAAAAATCATACGTGTAATTAATTATATTCATTATTAATAACAAGGGACAACCAAATCCGTGGAAAGAAAAGAATCAGCAAATATAAAACCAGATTTTTCATTTTTTCCAACAAAAGAAAATTCTTTCTTTTGGAAAAAGCTATTCTCCTGAGCAAGCTGAATAATGTGGACAATAACTGAAGTAAAATGTTTGAAATATTTTTAAAGTTTCATACTTCTTCAGTTGTAGATCTTAGTGGCCTGATTCACCATTGTGTTATTCTAGTTGTATACAGTGTAACTCTTTTGATTTCAATGAAGTTACACAGTTATAGTGCTGGAATTATATTTTTTCTTAAGAATGTGAGAGAGCAGCTACGCTGCATCTATGTTCTACGATTGATCATTTTTCTACATTTTTACTACTGTCTGTTTTTAAATTCTAAGCAAATATAAACTTTTATTTTCTTCTTTGCAACATCAGATAGACTGCTTATTCATCTGACTACCAAGTGAAGACTACAAGTTCAAGGCCCTAGTAAAGTATTGCTGAGCTTTAACAGATTTTCAATACAGTAGTTATTTTCTTAAAACTAAACTATGCTGAACACATTCCAAACATTCATTTTTCATATTGCATAATTTACCAACTGGTAGCACTGTGTTACATTATATTCATGTTCAAATCTTGGATAAGGTTGTGTACAGATTAGCAGGTTCTGAGATTGTCCCGGAAAAGATATATTTAGCCCTAGGTGAATGCATAAATCATACATTACTGTAATAGTAACAATTGTTAGCTACTTTGGTGGGCTCCAAGGCTTGACGAATTTTATAACATTGTGGGCTTTTCCATGTGGAAGAGATAACCGCACGTCTACTGGAGAGTAGGTGTTTTGCCCTATCAAGCTGGAACAATCCTCTGTAGGTGGGAAGAGTTAATTCTATGCACTGTTATGCAAAAAGTCAAACTAGAGAATGAGAATGGTCCCATCTAGTCTTGAAATCCATTAAAACAAATTAATAGTGATCATGATATGAAAATCCTAGAACTTTCTCCTATATGCAAAAATTCTCCTAAATCACTGGCTTATTGAACAATGTGTCCCTCAGTGATTAGGATCAGAGTAATTGTCTCTTTCAAATTTAAATTTATGAACTGGCTGATCTGTATTAACAGATCTAAACAGCATTAATACAATTAATGCCTCTGAAGAACAGAAAACATTGTCAATACTCAGTTCTTTCTGTATTGTACTCAGAACACAGTACATGCTTATGGGATTTAAAGCCTGAAACTGTAAACCAGGTATGAATCCTGAAGATGTGCTAGGTGTACTATAATAGTAAAATATACTTACTTCCAATTTCTGGTTTAAATTGCTCAGTTCAAATGGAGCTTCCAGCTTTTCTGCACATATTTCTTTACTGTAAACCTTATCTTGTTTAATCTGGTATAATTGTAGTTTTTCATAACTATGTGTCAGTTTACAAAACTGGAAATGAAAGGAGATAGAATGTTAAGAATGTGTGATACTTTTCTATGTCAGGTAATTATTTATTTGAGTCATAATTGGCAAATGCATTGAAGCTTAAACATTTTAATTAGCATATCTCTGTAACAAATTACTAGTTACTAAAACCAAATTATTAAAGATGAACAGGACCAAGATTTCATATAACCCTGAGTGTTTATTAGTTGCCCAGTTAAAAACAGATTTACTTTATGGTTGTTGGTTTTTTTCTGTTGAAAATTTGTATGGCACTTGAGTTTTTAACCATGTAAAGTCAATTTTTGTACCGTGTTTATATGAAATGTTTTACATTTGTTTAGTGCCATCTTGTGTTGACAATATTTAAAAGTACTTCAATAACAAGAATAACAGATTAACAGATGGAAACAGGTAAACCAGACTAACACGGCTACATTTCTATCACTAAGCAGTAGAAGGCATTGGTGACAGGGTAGAGGGAGGGAATCAGGCAATCGGAGGAGGATTCTTGGAGGTATTGAAGTGGAATGAACTGGACCATACTTAAAATGGTCCACATTTATCAACATTTCACAATTTTTACCAAGGACAATTCTCCAAATAATCTGGGAGTGTAGTATCTGCTAGTTCCTCTGACACTGTTTACATTCCAGTGAATTTTAGCCTTGAGTTACTGGTAATCTTAATTGGCAGGGCCTCAAGACTAATACCTTATGGCCTGGTCTACACTAAAGGGGAAAGTCGACTTAATATATGCAACTTCAACTATGTTAATTATGTAGTTGGAATCAAAGTACCTTAAATCTGGTGTCATCCAGACAGGAGGGGTTGATGGGAGCACATTCTCTTGTTGACTTCCCTTACTTCTCATAGGAGCAGGACGACCAGTGCTAATGGGTTTCAGTTTCAGGCTTCACTAGACTCACTAATTTGAACTACAGAAGATTGATGGCAGCAGCTTCGATCTTCTTTGTAGTGTAAAAAATCCCTATATTATTATATGTTATTTTTCAGTGCTCAAAAGTATGCTAGACCCCATGCAGAATAAAAATCATGTTTCAAACCTGAAGAATACACAGTATAGTTTAGGTATGAAACATAAGTGAGGGTAATAAACAAAGGAGAGAAGGGGAACAGATGAGGTAGGACAAAGATTACACTAATCAGACCATATGGTTTGGGCATGTGTAGAAAATGATACATCTGGGTAGAGAGTCTTTATACTCAACTTCTTCAGACAGAACTGTGCTTTTAGGAGGGATCTGAATGAGCCAAGAGTGAGCAGAAACTCAGTCAAATAAGAATTTGAAGGATGTTCCATAGAAAAAGATGCACGAAAAAAGCAAAGAAGCAGAACGAGAATGTAATGAAGGGGGCATCAAAGCATGCATGTATGGTAGAACAAAAGAGGTTTCAGGAAGCAAAAAGGGCAGGTGGCAAGGGACAGCCGTGCAAGAAAACAGAACACAAAATTTGCACTCCATACATATAGAGCAGTAAGAAATCAACAAGGAGATTCAAAAAGGGGTTGAAATGGTCTGAGTACCAGGTAGCAAAGAGAATTTTGGCAAGGTGGGTCCCTAGACCAGACAGACTGAAATTATGGTATTCAGTGTGGAAGATGTGCAGAATGTAGACAAATGATGTAACTGTTAAGATGGATAGGTATGGTCAGATTTAAAAATATATATATATAATGAATGGAAAAGATATGATTTGCTCATGGCCTGGATATGCAGAAGAAAGAAAAACACTCACGAGCACTATTGTCATGAAAGATTGCATATCTTATTCTTATTTTCTTCTATGGCCTATTTTATATAGGAGGTCACACTAGATAATCACAACAGTCCCTTCTGGCCTTGGAATCTATGCATCTATGAACACCAAGTTGTGAGTTTCAGTAACAGTGAGGATGGTGAAGTTGTTAGCAGCAACAGAAAATGAAGGCAGCAGAGAATTTTGGAGAAAAAATTAGATCACGTTTAACTTGAGAAGACAGCAAGCCAGAATGATAACAGCAAATGTGAGAACGTAAGGCAGGATTTAGATCTGATTAAATGTATGAACTATTTAATTGTACAAAAATTCACCCCAAAACTAGGTTAAAACCATTTACTTACTGGTACAGTAACTATTGTTCTTCAGGATGTATTGTTCACATATATATTCTGTTGTAGATGTAAGTGCACCGAATGCAGTTGAGCCAAAGACTTTTGGCAGCACTCTCACCAGGAAGCATAACAGGCAGCATTTGCTCTTGTGCTCAGAACAATGGCATAAAAAGGGTATGATCACAGCTTCCTTTTCTGTTCCTTTACAGCATGGCCTATCTAATATATGAAAGAGTGGGGCAAGCAGGAGGGTTGTAGAATGTATATGTACACAATACATCTTGAAGAACTACAGTTGCTGTACAAGTAAGTAACTTTTCTTCCTTCTGTGTGATTGTACACATATGCAATCCATTGTAGGTAGTAGCCACTTGGGGCAAATTTCAGGAAATGGGGTGTCTTTCAGAGATCATGGCCAAGGACTATTCTTTGTATTCTTCATCCAATTTTGTCCCCCAATTTAGAAACTATTCACCAATTAATAAACACATATTGTAACAATAGCACCTATAGCACCTGATAATTCAACACCTTCCTTTGATAGGCTGATTGATAGTGCTAGAAAGGCACTCTGCTCTAGATCAAGTCTTTTAACCTCATCTTTTGGAGCAGCCTTAGGATGAGACTGCTTCAAACCCGCTCATTGGCTACCATAACCACAAGGTTTTCTGGGACAGGATGGGTGAAGACATAATCAAATTCCTGCTAGGGAATCTAAAATCACCTGTCCACAAGTTTAGGAATGAGGGGGACACAGGCCAACATCTGCCAGAGATTCTTCACAGGTTCCAGAAAGGTTTCATTAATGGGTTGGGTAACCCTTCTTGTGGCAGGTATTTGTAAGATATCAAAAAACTTGTGTGGGCCGTCTTGCACAAGCTCTATCTGCAATCCTAGAGATGTGGCCATGAGGTCCTGAAACAGTTTAAAGCCTTTCACTGGGGATGGGGTAAGGAGGAAGGTGATGACCTTATGCAGGGAAGGAGTTGAAATATGATGGTGACATCAAGGTGTTCTTCTCTTGCCTCTTCTTCTGTGGACTCCAGCAAAAGAGGGGACTACAAATGGTAGGGGGATCCTCCTTTGAAGTCTCCAGAAAGGGAGAAAGCAACTTTCTCCTGCACTGAGAATCCATAAGTGGTCTAGACACTCTTGGGGTAGCCTAAGATGCACAAGAAAGCCAAGGGGACTTCTACTCTTTTAACTGCCCATGAGGATGATGGGCATAATACAAAAGCTTCCTTGTAAGAATTCTAATCTTGCCCCTTGATTCTGGCATCACTGAAGTGTGACTTAAGAGAAGATGTGAAAGACTGTGGAAGAAATAAAGGCTGATCATGGCGCAAGTGTGAAGAAGAGGTATAACTCTCCTTATTGAATGAATGAGCATTCCAGTTGGCATTTGAGGGGTTTTTGATATCAGCAAAACCTGGTGCTGTCCTAAAAGTACTGACAGAAGTATCGAACAGAGCTGATAGAAGCAGGTAAAATGATCAGAAGACAAAAGAACCAATCAGTGCTAGGGATACTGACAGTGCCATCATTCAGAGTTGTGACGAAGAAACCAGTGGGAATGAGGAATCTCAGACTGTAAGGGTAAGTTTACACTGTACACTTATTTCAGAATAATCTATTCCAGAAGAAATACTCCAAAATAGCTTATTTCAAAATAGCATGTCTACATTACAGGGAAGCTTTGAAATTAGTCTGAGGCAGGCTCCCCTAATGTGGATATGCTACTGTGATTTAGAGCCCCGGGAAGCACTAGGGTGTAATTACTTTGAATGGCCCTGGGGAGGAGCTATTTCTAAATAGCAGCAGTGGAACATCCACATTATAGTTATTTTGAAATAGCAATTTCGGAACAGGCATTTCTTGTGGACTGAGGTTTACAGAAGTCAGAATAAGCTTTGCTGTGTAGATGCTTGCATTGTTATTTCAGAATAACAGCCGTTATTCTGAAATAATGTTTCTGTGTAGATACACCCTTAATGATGCTGGTGGCACTGACTTGCTGGAGACTGCTGCTATTGGCGCACAACAGTAAAATTTCTGGACACCTTAAATCACAGCTTCTTGGGACAGCTAGTGCTGGAACCCACAAAAAGAGAAGCAATGCTTGATTTATTCCTAAGTGTAATACAAGATATGGTCCAAGAGGTGAATATAGCTTTGTAATTGTGACCATTATATAACTAAATTTAACATCCCTTTGCCAGGGAAAACCCCACAGCAGCTCAAAACCCCAGCTCCCACCCAGTCGTCCACTGTGCCTCTTTCTTCCCTGCTGAGATGATGCTGGGTGGAAACCGGCTTTTAATCTGGCTCCCCCCCAGCACCAGTTCCTGCTGCCCTCCCCCCTTGCTGCCTCTCTCTGAAAGAGGCAGCAAGTGAGGGAGTGGGGAAGCAACTAGTTGACTAGTCACTTCCATCCCTAATACCTACTTACACTTACATATCGCGGAATATATATGTACAGAATCACTCAAAGGAAAACTAGAATTATTTATTCACTGTCAAATGCTTAACTTCTCAATCACAACAAGATGTCAATCTTCTAGCTATATTAGGGAAACACTGCAAGTTACAAAAACAGCTTCTATTTCATAACTGTTTTCTTAAATGAAAATGGTAAAGGGAGTAAGGGAAATGAAAGTTTAAAAAAGTTCATTTTATGAACTGGTGAGGAATGTTGTCACCAAAATTATAATTCTTTACTTAACCAGGCCAAATCTGAGGTCCAGATGAGGTATGACTAGAATTCTGATTTGGTGAAGAAGTCTGGTTGTTGGACAAACTATGTCTACATTACAGATCGTATATAGGCATAGATGCAGATGCATCTTGCACTGACAGTTTTTCTGCTGGTGTAGGAATACTACGTCCTCAAATTACATTATCTGTACTATCAGATAAACAAGAAAAGATTAAATCCAGGACTGTCCAGACTACTTTGTTAAAATCTGAGAAACATTATGGACTGAAGTTCAGAAAACCTGATACCCATTAGTTTTGTAGCTTGGAGTGGAAAACAGAGAAAAACTAAGAAAAAGGACAGACACAGAGCACAAACAAACAAACAAAAAACAGGTTGAACCTCTCTAATCTGGCACTTTCTGGTCTGGCAACATCCGTGGTCCAGTATGATTTTAGTTAGCTGGATGTCCACTTATCACTGGTGTGGCCAACTTTCCCACAGTCCCCAAAAAATTGTTTACACCCCCTGTCCTGGCTCTCAGTGCTCTATGCTGCTATTTAGCTCTAATTTACCCCTAAATGTCTTCTAAGAGCCCAGTAAGCAGCTGAAGTGGTAAACAATATTGACCTCTTGTGGTTTGGCAAACTCTATGGTTAGCACCGGTCAGGTACCGAGAGTGCTGGATTAGAGAGGTTCAACCTAGGGGTGTGAAAGTGTAAATGTTTACATGGTTAATCAATGAGCCTGGGTTCATCAGTTAACAGGCAGAGTTACACACAGGACTCCCCCCACTTCCTTCATCCTGTTGCCTCCATGCAGAATGCAGTGGGGTAGGAAGCAGCTTTATGGAAAATTTTCAATGGTTACAAATTTCCTACAGTTACACATTTACTTGAATAAACACATTTTAACAAATTCAGACTTCAACCTGTAGTCACAAAGCAAAAAATGAATCCAATCTGATGCCTCCTCCTTCCAGGTTCCTCTTGTTTTTATACCTCCTGTCTCATGGAAAATCATCAACCTATTCAGAGCTGGAACTATGAACGTAAAAACTATGAGACTGTTTCCAGAACTTTCCAGTAGTCTTCATAACACAAATAATCTTAACTTAAAAACAAGACAACCTTGAGCCATCTAAAACATGTCAACAGAAAGACAGTTCTTAAATCAATATTTCCTGTGTGCATCAGCTTCTAATTATCATGACTCTGATTAAGTGATTTTAGCCATTTTTTGTACAATAAAACCTGTGTTATCCAGCCCTCTCAGGGATTAGGGTGTTCCGGTTATCTAAAAATTCTGGTTATCTGAGGGTCCCATCAACCTAGGAAAAACCAGAAAGGACAAGCACAGTGGTGCACAACCTTTTTGGATCTGCGACCCCTGTGCTGCAGGGGCTGCCAGCTGCCCGGCCCAGCCTCACGCAAGCTGGATCAAAGCATCACGCCGCATGGCCGTGCCCAGCCTCACACCAACAGAATCAAAGCGCCATGCAGCTGCACACAGCCTCTGGCTGGCTGGATCAAAATCGCTGCGCTGCGCTGCACTGCACGGCCATGCCCAGCCCCCAGCCGGCCAGCCAGATCAAAGTGCTGCGACATGTAGTCTCACCAAGCCCCTACGAAATTTGCCGGTTTCTAAAGTTTTCCGGATAGTTAAGTGCCAGATAGCGCGGGTTATACTGTACCTAGTCCATAACCCACAAGTCTGACAGAGGCTCTCTCCATGTCCTTTGGTCGCATTTTGTCACAATAAGTCCAATGCGGAGAAGTAGATTCAGAGTTCTCCTTATAGAAATAATAACTACACCCATGAAAGCAGATATGGTTACCAAAGTTTAAAAGTGTGACATAAATTACCATTCACAAATCCATAAAGACACATCTATTAAATTATACATTAGAAACATTTTTAGAAAATAGTTATGGAAAGATAAAATGATAAAGTAAGTTTGGAAAACAGTTCAAAATCTACTAAACTAACCTGAAAATACTGAACCAGTGTAAAATACGGAATCTGACTTTGTCCTTACTTGAGACTTCAGTGCTTGAAGTTGAGCTTCAAAATCCTGAGCCATCTCATATTTAGTCTTCTGCAAGGTGTCAAATTTCTGTCGAAGTATCCCTACCTACATTTAGAATAAACATTCATTTTTATAACAAATAGTCCTGTGGCACCTTAGAGACTAACAAAAATGTATAAGATCATGAGGATACGTCTATACTGCAACCTTTTTCCATAAAAGCTTACGCAAATGATGCGCGGAGTAGAATATCGCCACACTTCATTTGCATAATTAATTAGGGGCCATTTTTGCACAAGAGGCTTTTGCGCAAAAAGGAGCTGTGTAGACGGTTCCTTTTTGCTCAAAAACCCCCTCTTGCACAAGAACCGTTCTTCCTCATTTTTTCAGCTGTGTAGATGCCTCATTAGCATCTACACAGCTCCTTTTTTGCGCAAAAGCCTCTTGCACAAAAATGGCTGCTAATTAATTATGCAAATGAAGCATGGTGATATTCTACTCCGCGCTTCATTTGCATAAGCTTTTGTGGAAAAAGGCTGCAGTCTAGACATAGCGTAAGGGTATGTCTAGACTGCATCCCTCTGTCGGCAGAGGGATGCAGATTAGGCAGGTTGACATTGCAAATGAAGCGGGGATTTAAATATCCCATGCTTAATTTGCATAAAAAGGCTGCTGTGTTTTGCCAACTCAGCACTTTGTTGGCAAAAAGCGGCAGTCTAGAGGGGGATCTGTTAAGAAAGAAAGCCTTTTTCCACAGATCCCTTATGCCTCCTGCAAGGAGGTTTATAGGATCTGTGGAAAAAGGCTTTCTTTCTCAACAGATCCCCCTCTAGGCTATGTCCAGACTCAGGGTTTTTTTCGAAAAAAGTAGCCTTTTTTCGAAAAAACTTCACCTGCGTCTAGACAGCAGCTGCGTTCTTTCGAAATTAAATCGAAAGAATGCTGCTTTTCTTTCGACGGCGGTAAACCTCATTTCACGAGGAAGAACGCCTTCTTTCGAAAGTGCTCTTTCGAAAGAAGGCGTTCTTGAATGTAAATAGGGCTTCTTCGAAAGAGAGCATCCAGACTCACTGGGTGCTTTCTTTTGAAAAAGCGGCTTGCTTTTTCGAAAGTTCCGCGTGCAGTCTAGACGCTCTCTTTCGAAAGAGGGTCTTTCGAAAGTATCTTTCGAAAGAGCCTCTTTCGAAAGAGGCTTGCAGTCTAGACATAGCCCTAGATTGCCGCTTTTTGCTGACAAAGTGCTGAGTCGGCAAAAACAGCAGCCATTTTTATGCAAATTAAGCACGGGATATTTAAATCCCTGCTTCATTTGCAATGTCGACCTGCCTAATCTGCATCCCTCTGCCGACAGAGGGATGCACTCTAGACATACCCTAAGTGTCCTATTCATAGCTTTTGATGTAAAAATGCAAATGTCAAAGACGGAGAAAATCGGCTTTGTATCCACCTTTATTCAAAGGTGATAGTGTCAAATTTGTAAATTAATTCCAGTTGAGCAGTCTCTCTCTGTAGTTGGGTAGTAAAATTCCTTTGTAGAATGGCTACTCTTAAATCCATGATTGAGTGTCCAAATAGGTAAAAATGTTCCCCTACAGATTTATGTGTATTACCATTATTAATGTCTGATTTGTGCCCATTTGCTTGGCTGTAGACAATGAATTCTGTGATGTGCCCTGGATGGCAGCTAGAGGCATGTAGGTAAGAATAGTGGTCAGTTATTTTCTGGTATAGGGTGGTGTTCATCTGACTGTAGTGTCAAGGAAGTGGATTTCTTTTGTTGACTGGTCCGGGCTGAGATTGATAGTGGGGTGAAAATTGTTGCTGAGGTAGGTTGGTGTTATGTGACTGTAGAGTCAAGAAAGTGTATCTCTTGTGTGGATTGATTTATTTTTACTGTTTTCAATTAATTTCTACGTCCCCCTTACGTGCTTCCAGGTAAGGAAGGCAACCATGTTATATTTAATGTTAATATTTTAGAAAGACAAAATTGTAAATAGGACTGTTGCAACTTAAGATATGTTTTATTGTAATTATTTTAACTAAGGTTGTGAATTAACTCACGTGATTAACTAAAAAAAAGAAACGTTATTAATCATAGTTTTAATAACACTGTTAAAATATATATAAAATTTTTTTTAAAAAGACAATCTTTCTAAAAGCGCACCAAAAGAGTAAAAATAAAGTTTTCAGCTATCAATTTAGGAGAAAGATTAGATAGCTAACAGTTAGCAACTACCTTGAATCATACTTAGCCATCTAATCTTTCTCCTAAATTGGCAGCTGAAAACTTTATTTTTACTCTTTTGGTGTGCTTTTAGAAAGATGGTCTTTTTAAAACATTTTTTTATATATATTTTTTTCTTTTTGGTCTTTCTCCTCCATACACACTGTGGGATTATTGGCTTCCCTCCCATACACATACACTCTGGGGATGCTGCCCTTCCCCCAACTCTGGGGCTTTTGCCCTCCTGGCTCTGGGGCTGCTGCCCCCCCCCTTGGTATTGGACTTCTGCCGGTGGAGCCCGGGGCCGTCGGGTATGGCCCACCTTGTGGGCGGCCTGCCAGGGGGGCTGGGAGCCGAAGCTGCCAGCACAAAGGCACTTAGGCCTCCTGGAGGAGCTGGTGGGGGTGGCCTGGTGGGGG